ATTAACGAGTAGAGTATTTGTCTATAAAATTTAAATTCGAATAAAAAAAATATGCTGTTTTATAACCAAAAAAATTTTAGATGATGGATTATACGCCAATGGTCGAATACTGGAATTACATAAAGATCAAAGTGGTAGGTAAGCGATGTGTATTCGGTATGCCAGAGAAAGAGGGATGTGCCAGGATGAAACGATATGGCATAGGGAAAACATAATATAAAAAAATTAAAGAACAATTTCTATTGTCAATGTAAAAAATTGAATAGAAATTGTATTTACGTCAACATCCTAAGGCATGTTATAAAGGTATCGGCGGTGGCTGCGCGGTCGAGAGCGTCGCGGTTTTCGTTCCGATTATATCACGCCGGCATACCGTTACAATCGGTAATGTTATGTGCAGTTAGGGTGTGGGTTTATTGCTTCCTAGTGACGCGTAGTGTGAACATCCCGGAGATAGTCACTCGTTAGCTGGGGCCACGTATCCACTTTGGAACGCTGTGCCATCTAATATGATAACATGTTGTTAATATTTATCTAAAGGAAACATCAAAATATGCAAAATAAGCTTCATATGATCTTTAAGATCACCTGTTGTTCAATTCTGAAAAGCAAATATTTCCCCTTTTTTAAACTTATAAAACCAATTTCTAATGTCTCGTTCACATTACCGTAGGTGAAGACATTGTACAGTTACTAGTACCGCTGCTATAAATTAAAAACGTAAGATTTCCGCAAAGAAACGACCAGCGTGAATTTTTAAAAGTAACTGTATGGAGACTCGGCAAGTGTGCGTAAATTAATGCTTTGTCTGTTGTAAGAATACAGAATAATTACTTTTTTGTTTGTATGCGTTCGTAGAGGTAACGTATTCTTGAATTTCCTCAGTTATATACTTTCTTAAGAGAAATGTGGAAGTCTAATTTCTACGAGTACATTAAAAAATCTCAAGAATCAGATATTTATAACCGAAAAAAAATGTAAAACCTGAGGAACCTTTATCCTGATGGAGAAACCACGTTTTAAGACTAATTCGTTGTACCATGTGTTATTCTCTTTGCGTCATCGTTGATTAAAAAAAGTGTAATACAAACCATAAACTGAAACTTTTCATTGACGCGGTCGAAAACATTATAACTATTTTTTCATTAACAATTTCGAAAATAGTTGAGTTCTAAATCTCACATAACGAAAGTTAAGTTTAATGTTCCTATTATATTAAGATATAGTTGTATCAAAATGTGATCATCTTTATACAAAAGTGCCTAAAACAACGAATGAATCAAGTAAAACGATCAACCCAATTTATTCGTAAACGCAAGTCAATGAACACATTGATTGGAGGCTACGAAAACCACCAGGTGCGGACATACAATGCGTCAACAAAAACAATGAGTAAATTACCATTCCATTGTACGGCTTCGTTTCATATTCGTTTGTTTGTAAATCGTGACATCAAATCACTTGTGGAGCTGCAACCTGCTAATTGTGTAATTATCAATGACAAAATCGAACACAAACTGGAGCAATTTATATTGTCTGCTTCATTTCTGTAGACAGTTGAATATTTAACTTTGATACGCTAAAAACCCCGTGCAATCAGTGTAATCATCTAAGATTTTGAATGTGCCCTCTCAAATTTGTTTAAAAACAAATACATAATTGATTAACACTGATGACTAATACTTCAGGTATGCTTTAAATTATTTAAAGTTAAGAGGTCCGTGACCCGGATCAGTAAGTGATCGCAAACATCTTAATATTTACTACACACTTCCTCTATAATACGAGCAATTTAAATATACATGGCCAGTTATTATTTTAAACAAAACGTTAGGAATTAATCATGGGTAAAAGTTAAAGTATTTCAATATACTAATAGATTCGAAAAATGTTTGCATGTAACTAGAAGTTTCTATCCGAAAATCTAAAAATGTCCAAATCTTTGTCATTATTTTAAAATCTGTGTTGAAACGTCTCCTGAATCTACTAATATTATAAAGAGCAAAGATTTGTATTCTTGTACGTATTGAAACAACTCAAAAACTACTGCGCCAATTTTAAAAATTCTTCCACCTTTAGAAAAGATAATTTATCTGTGAGTACAAGACATTTTTTTTTATTTCACTCCGGCGTAGTCACGAGCATCATCTAGTGTACTATGAATGACTGACTGAATGGGCTATCTAAAGACAACTAACTTAGATAATGGATCACATAATTCATATTAACCACACAGCGGTCAGCCAGGAAGCGGTCTGCGCGGCTCGCAAGTCGTGCAATTGTGCGGGTTAACGTACGCGATGTACGAGCAAAAGAATGTCAAACACACACCGCGCTAGTTAAAATTCTAGCAGCGTTATGTAAACCTAACGCTTGATGCGGTTCAATTTATTAAGACTTATCTTAAATTTAAGCAATGTAAAAACTATTAGGTAATAGAAAGTTTCTTCTACACAGTAATAATAATGTGCGAAAAGTGTTATTTTTATTCGGAAAATGTCTACGGTTAATTCAAAATAAAAAATATTAAGCGACCATATCATTATTCTTTTAAACGTAAACCTTACAGTAAATAAAACAATAAATTTAAAGAAACCGGTACCGAGCATTAAATCTACATCGCAATCACTTTATTCATCGGTAGCATATTTCTCGAATGTACGATGCGATACCATCTCTACAATGACTGACGTTTTCTTCAAGGTAATGGGGGCAAACATTTTGATCTCGGGTCATAATACAAAGAGTATTAGAGCGCGCGCACACCTATGACTAGACTATCGCACATTTGTTAAGTCTTGCTATGATTCCTATGAGCTTATATGGAGGTGCGCACACTCCATTTTTACTTTGCAACTAAACAGTTGAATGTACTGGAAAATAATCGGCGAGTTTAGTCAAAGGTGTGAGCCTGCTCTTAGCGTCTTGCTTTTTACCGCACCATACTATTTAAGTGAAGAAACAAAAAAATGAACATGTTTTTTTTTATCACGAACGGATTGTGAATGATAGATTTGAAGCGTAATTAATGGTTTCAGATCGATTAAAAAATCTATAAAGATGCAAAATCATCTAAAGCAACCTAATTAAACAGATTATGATGTCATACAGTTTATTACGAATAAAATTTTTACGCCTTCCTTCGACATATATGAAGAATCCTTTCACGGCAAATAATTTGAATAATAGCTGTACTAAGTTTGTACATAATTGTGGTTGATTTTTTTTAATCGTTAACGTTCAGTGCACAGGAATAGAAAGGCACATTTTTAATAATTAACACTGGAATGTTGTCAAAAAATAAAACTAAAACAATGTTTCTGAAATAATAAACGACAGATTGCTATAATATCTGTAAAACAACGCCATTTGTGGACAGCTACTATGACAGGCAAAACAAAACTTGAATTATCTTACTTTGTTGTAATCACTAATTAAATCTATATATGTATTTACAATCGAAGACTATTAATTAAAATATTAAATTTACCATTTCAGAGAATTTTATACATGGCCAAATATGAAAACGGCGTTATTTACGTAAAAATAACAGCGTTTTATATGTTAAGGCCACGCTGAAACTCCAAATACCATTAAAATTTTGACATCTATTAAATTATATGTATTTACAAAACAAAGTGTTTAAGATTCATTCAGTATTCAAACATTAAACAATAAAAAAAATCAAAACCGCTACCAATCTAAGTATTTTCCATCATCAATCTTGTACACTAATTTGGGTAAGCATGAGTTAATAAGAAATACTCGATTTGCCCGATTTGTTTATAACATCGCACACCATTTAATATACAATTGATGTTCGTCAGCGACTCTGTTCTGACAGAATTAAAAAAAAAAGATGGCCTATTTGTTCTTCTAGTCTGTGTTGTACATCTGTTGAGATCTGTTGAGTCGTTCTGAAGATATGTTGTAACGAACATCAATCCACATACCTAAACTAGTAGTAAGTACGTAATTAAATAAGTAAGTAAATAGTAAGATTGAATTATTTTGTGAGAGGTTAACTATCCAGTAGTAACCCATAGTGCACTTAAAACGTAAGAAATCTACACCAAGAGACTCCCCTAGTGACCATTGTATAAAAGAGGTGTAAGTATATGCATTTCATACAAAATTGGAAGTTTTAGCTTTCATATTGAAATATCAAACAATTGATCAATATCTGCTGACTTATAAGTTGCACTCAATTGATTTACACAAAGCGAATTACATTTACTTGAGAATTACTTGTTAAAAATTAAATATAGTATAAACTCTATATAATGTCGATCGAAGGACCGAACATTTTGCGTCCTTATATGGAGTACACTATGTAGTGTCAAAAACTGTTTATATATTGATTTGTATTAATTAATATAGTTTCACTTATCTTTTTCTTTCTAACGCAAGCATAGTAATAAAACTTTTCATCAATACACAAATAATTTCTTTAACTCGCCATGTTTATAGTTCAAAAGTACGAGAGCAATGGGGATTCTGTCGATTTGACAAAAATCATGGTAGAAAATGCTTAGTTAGTGAGAAAATGCACTGTGCGGTGTTTACACCGGACACTAGTGATCGTTATACAAAAATAATGGCCAAAATTTCTTAAAAACCTCGGTATCTTAGTCGTACAAAAACGTCCTAGTTACAATTCTTGAAAGTTAAAAATATAGTAGAGGGTACATGACGGTGGAGTGTTTGAAAACATGGTAAACCAACTAAAGCCAAGCTATGACGTTATAAGGAGTTTGACGTTACATTGCAAGACCATCGGGTTTGATGCCGATTATTTTTTTTTTCACCATTAGACCATTAATGGTATAAGGAAATGAGCAAGTCATTTTGTGTAAGAATTCTTGACAATTTGCCTACAATTACAAACGGCTGACATCCGTGGTCCGTCGATAACAGATGAATGAAAGGACATATAATAGCAGAGAAGGCAGCTCAAGTTTCGGAAACTCCACGACTGTTGTGACAGTGGTGTGACGTACCTGCAGCTCGAAGGGCTGGTGGTGCTGCGTGGAGTCGGGCGCGGGCTGCACCACGGAGGCACCGTTGACGAGGCTGGCTGCGGCCGCCACGCCGCCCACGCCCACGCCCGCGCTGCCCGCGCCCACGCCCACGCCGCCCACTGCGCCCACGCCGCCGGCGTACTGCGACCACACATATATGTACCATCACAGCTACACTGTCTCATACACTATTTCAGTCCAGATAGTAAGTTTTCTAGAACTTATAACATAAATTAGCAAATAGAATCATAATAAGGATGGTTGTTACTATAATTGTGTGTGTGTAATTAAGATTTTAGCATTTGTAATACTAAATATAAAGTAATGTAACACAACAGACTATGACTTAATTTCAAGTAGGTGTTGAGGATGACAACTAGTTATTTCAGAGTGGAAGAAAGTCTGTTCTAGTCAAATACGTAATTGTTATTACAATGTAGAATATTATCAACAATTACCTGCTGTGTAGTTGCAAAGCTGTTGTTATCAAATTGCGGATGCTGTTCCATTTGCAGTACGAGTTCAATGTGCTGGTTCATGGAATCATTTAAAGTCATACCTGTAACAATCATTTTAAAAACTCAGTACATTTTGCGTACACGAAAATCACGAACAATGTAAAGTTATAAGAGAGTAAGTATGTGTACCGGGGTGAAGTTGCGGATGCTGTGGATGCGGCAATCCTTGCAGCGGCGGCACGCCCAGCATACCGGGGTGGTGCTGGGGAAGAACACAACAAAAGGTTTATTACATTACTTCATTCAGATCATATTTAATAATATAAACTTAATTATAGGCCTAAAGATATAATTCAATAGTCGCTTGAACTAATAAGTGGTAAGCAAGGCGAAATAATCAAGTGAAAGATATAGAAGACGAAAATTTGACTTGTATTTCAACAAAAGCATGTGAAGAGAAGTTCAGTAAAGTGAGGTAGGCGTGTACCTGCGGGTGCTGCGCGTGCTGCGGATGCT